GAGCGGGAGGTCAGTTCTGGAGGGCTGTGCAGAGCCTCGGGCTGCTTTTCACAGTTGGGACCTGGAACCCTGAGATGGGAAAGCCCCGCCCAAAATCCAGGCCTTCACTGAACAGCAGGTGGACAGCCCCTGAGCGTCCGGCCGGCTTCCTGTCCGTCCCACAGCCCCTCACAGCACCCTTGGCCTGTCCTTGGCAAAGGCCATGTGTGCATGGAAGGAAATGACCTGCTTCCATGCATGGCTCAGAGCAGGGGAGGGTGGTGAGTTTGGGAGGGGAATGGCAGACAACTGTGGCTGTGGACAAGGAGGCCCCTGCCTAGACAAAAAAGAGCGCATTGAGGAACAGAAGTAGAATTGACACGCAGAGACAGACGGGTTGCTCTGCTCGTTAACGTGAAAATGATGCCACAGCCAGTGTTGAGGGGAAAGAGCTGACAGAACCTGCATCCTGTGGGGCTGCGTGATGACGTCTGCGCAAGGGAGCACCTGTGTCTAACCCGAGACTTGAAACCTAACGAAAAGTTAACAGCGGTTGTCTCTGGTTGTGGGACTTGTTCTTTGTTTGAATGCATTTTTCTGCGTTTTGAATTGTTTTGCAGATATTACGCTTTCTTTTTATGATCAAGCAAAATGATAACGCTTTCTCAGCTTGGAAAAATGAGGCACTGGGGTCTCAGGCCCCTCACGTGACCTCATTTGTCCCCATATGCGGGTCTCTCATGGGTGCTTGTCTTGGTACGTAAGGATTCCAGCTTCATCATCTAGCTTTGCAAAGGAGCTCGGTGATGCCTGTGCCTGTGCCAAATCAGGTGACAGATGAGCATGGCATCCAGGATCTTTCCTGTTAGGAGCAGCTGCAGCTCAGACCCTCAAACCTCATATGAAAGGCACGGATACGCTCTGCTTCTCGGGCTCCCTGGCCCCAATGCCGGCATGCTGGCTTGCCGAGAGCAGCGAGGAGCTTCCTTGTACCATACTCTGTTTCATGAGCCTCACTCCAGAGAGGCTGGGATGGGCCAGAACCTCCTGACATTCCCTCGGCAAGTCAGCCTGCAGCCTTTTGGTCTCCCTCCCCGCCTGGGATGCAGATGCGGCCTTGGTTTGCTTGGTCTTGAAGAGCTTTAAGGTTTTTCAGTGGCAGCTGGCAAGCTGGGCACATCTCGCCTCCAGTGAGCACCGGGGAGAAAGCAGCTGGCGCCTGTTGCCCACGGAGCAGGAAGTGTCACTGGAAGCAGAGGGCAGTTGTGCCTGGAGCCAGCAGCACTGGGGTTAGAAATACTTGGCTGCCCAGTGGCCCAGTGGAAAACAAGCCCCTGTCCCTCCACACACACTCGCCTGCTTCCTTTACTTCCTGGAGCCCCAGGCCATCACCCCAGGTTCCTGGCAGCATGCTTGCCCTTCCCAGCACAGCCTTTCGCACAGATTTCTCCCGGCTTCAAAACTGAGCCCTCCATGTACCCGGGGCAGCTGCGGCTCCGAGAGTCCTCTTTCAGCTGTCAGGGCCTGGTCAGCTCATCCCGGCTGGATGTGGGCAAGGGCGTCTCCTCCGCCTTCCCTTCACGCTTCCTGCCCCCACTGCCCAGGCGCCCAACCCGAACTTTGCCCAGGAGTTAGAAATCTACTGTAGGGCATTTGGGCTCAGTCCTATCCATCCCTAGTGCAAATTCATTATTAAGATCATTCACCACACAGGAGCCTGTGAGAACAAAGGAGGCAGTCCACTGGGGTGGCTGGCGGGGCTAGGTGGGAGTCAGAGTTCCCCGCCTGGCTCTACTGCTACTAAGCCCCATGATTTGGGGCAAGGTGTTTGCCTTTCAGCCTCCATATCTTTCTCTATGAAATGGAGACAAGCCCCATTTCTCCGCAGGGTTTCTGCCAGCCAGTAGCTGAACTATTCTTTGCTACAGCGAAGAAGCTCTTTGTAGACTGTACACAAATGTAATTGACATGTAAGCCATGAAGTCATCTGTAAAAGCAGAGCCCCGCCTTTTTAAGGAAGGGGACGTGGGTGTGGGAAATCAGGTTTGGGTGGGAGGGCTGCACGGTGCTGGGCAGGTACAGGATTGCAGGAGGTCGCTCCCGAGTGCCCCAGGACCTCCGTGGGCGGGACCACAATGGGGGAGAGGAAGGAAAACAAACCAAACTTCTCTTCCGAGCAATTGCGTTTGGGCTGTGCCTCCTCAGGCCCTGGGTATGGTGGGGGCCCAGGAGCCCCCGGGATTAACGAGTTCCAGGGGCAACTGGGGATTCAACTTTGTCAAAAGCATCCATTCAGTCTGGCCAGTGAGTCATCTGTTTGGTGAAATCTCCACGGTGCAGAGGCCTGGCAGCCTCCCTGGGAGAGCGGCAGTGGCTCTGTTCCCATCGAGATGGTGGTGGTGGTTGTGGTTGTGGTGCTTCGCTGGTGAGGCTGCAAGCCACCTCGGCCGTGGGGGCCACACGCCTCCCTGCCGCTTTACTGCCCCACTGTCTTTTAGACAGTTTTTCTTTTCTTTTTTCTTTTTTTTTTTTTTTTTGAGATGGAGTCTTGCTCTGTCGCCCAGGCTGGAGTGCAGTGGCCAGATCTCAGCTCCTGTCTCTTATACACATCTAGATGTGTATAAGAGACAGGTTAGCGAGGATGGTCTCGATCTCCTGACCTCGTGATCCGCCCGTCTCGGCCTCCCAAAGTGCTGGGATTACAGGCTTGAGCCACCGCGCCCGGCTCCTTTTTTTTAAATTATAAAACCGATACTCAGTAGAAAAAAAATTAAGTATAAAAAATAAAATTAAGGCTGGGCGTGATGGCTCACGCCTGTAATCCTAGCACTTTGGGAGGCTGAGGCAGGCAGATCACCTGAGGTCAGGAGTTTGAGACCAGCCTAGACAACACGGCGAAACCCCATCTCCACTAAAAATACAAAAATTAGCGGGGCATGGCGGCGGGCACCTGTAATCTCAGCTACTAGGGAAGCTGAGGCATGAGAATCGCTTGAACCCCGGAGGTGGAGGTTGTAGTGAGTTGAGATTGTGCCACTGCCCTCCAGCCTGGTGACAGAGCGAGACTCCATCTCAAAAACAAACAAAACAAATTAAAACATAATCCATAAGCCTATCCCTAAAGATAACCATCATCATTGTCTTGATGTGTCTCCTGTCTCCTGTGCAGGCAACAGAGTCCAGGCTGTGCTGTTACAACACACAGCCCCCAGTGAATGTGAATGGCCTCAGTAGAGACTTCCTTGCTCCACAAGGCCGAGGTCCCATCTCTCCCCACTTGATTCACCCCTCCTTTACTACTTTTCATGTCCTGCCTCTTTTTCTTAATTAGGCAATTACTTTTTTTTGAGGCAGGGTCTCACTCTGTCACCAAAGCTGAGTGCAGTGGGGCAATCATGACTCACTGCAACCTCAGCCTCCCAGGCTCAAGTGATCTTCCCGCCTACAGGCATGCACCACCATGCCCAATTAATTTTTTATTTTTTGTAGAGACAGGCTCTCAGTCTGTTGCCCAGGGTGGTCTTGAACTCCTGGATGTAAGTGATCCCAAAGTGCCAGGATTACAGGTGTGAGCCACTGCACCCAACCTGTCCTGGTTCTTAAAGGCAATTGAGATTGGAAATCTTTAGTTTGGTTTTGTTGTTGTTTTCGAGATAGGGTCTCACTGTTATCCAGGCTGGAGTGCAGTGACGTGATTACAGCTCACTGCAACCTCCCTCCCAGGCTCAGGCAATCCTCCCACCTCAGCCTTCCAAGTAGCTGGCACTACAGGCCTATACCACCGGGCTTGGCTAGTTTTTTTGTTTTTAATTATTTTATTTTATGTATTATTTTGAGACAGAGTCTTGCTCTGTTGCCCAGGCTGGAGTGTAATGGTGCAATCTCGGCTCACTGCAACCTCTGCCTCCCAGGTTCAAGCGATTCTCCTGCCTCAGCCTCCCAAGTACCTGGGATTACAGACACCTGCCACCATGCCCGGCTAATTTTTAAAATATTTTTACTTGAGTCTGGGTTTCACCATGTTGGCCAGGCTGGCTTCGAACTTCTGACCTCACATGATCTGCTCGGCTCAGCCTCCCAAAGTGCTAGGATTACAGGCGTGAACCACCACACGTGGCTGAATTTTTAAATTTTTTGTAAAGATGAGGTCTCACTATATTGCACAGGTAGGTCTCGAACTTCTGGCCTCAAGCAATCCACCCACCTTGACCACCCAAAGTGCTGGGATTACAGGCATGAGCCACTGCACCCAGCCAGGAAACCTTGAGAATTTTAGCATTAAGTAGAATGCTGGCACCTCAGGAGAGTGGCCATCTGCCATCCAGAAGAAGACCTCACTAGAAACTAACACTGCCGATGCATTGATCTTGGAATTTTAGCCTCCAGAACTAAACAAGCAAACAAAACGTATGATACTGGGTGCTGCTTTAAGTTAGGTAGCCTTTATCATGATAAGCATGATCCTCCATTTTCTGCCTTTCTATGACTTAAAAAAATCATCAGAACTCAACATTGACTTTTATTGAATGTCTCTAACTTTAGCCAGTTGTTTTTCCTATTTTCCCTGTTATATGTCTTTAAAGAATAGGAACCACTGGGCATTCCCGTTTTGCCTGTTTTACATGTATTATTGGCCCTTTGCTTTTAGAAATGTCTAAGAGTGACAGAAAGAAAATGTTTGCCAAGGCCCAGGGGTTTCAGAGCATTAACTTAGAGTGAAGAATTAGAGTCTCTCAGAGTGGCAGAGTAGTGATTATAAGGCTCTTTGGGTTCAAATAACTGTTCATCCACCCGGTCATTTAGTCATCCGTCCTGCCTGCATTTTGTTTTTGTCAAGGGGTGAACTGGGGCTACCATACATGTGCTTGGGGCTGTCCAGCGGCAGGTCACTTTCACGTTGCGTTTAGTGAGCCTCAAACGCGGTTCGGACCCTGTGGCTTTGGTGATTTCGGGAGCTCAGACGAGCATGTGAGACTGAGTCAGTGTCAATGGGTGGTGGTGGTGATGTCTTCTCTCCGCAGAACTGTCTCAGCAAACAGCAGCTCCTCTCGGCCATCCGCCAGCTGCAGCAGCTGCTGAAAGGCCAGGAGACACGCTTCACCGAGGGCATCCGCCACATGAAGAGCCGGCTGGCCGCGCTGCAGAACTCTGTGAGCAGGGTGGCCCCAGATGCCCCTCCAGGTGGGTGTCCACGTCAGCACTGCTGGGGTGGCAGGGCAGCACTCAAGCGCTCGGCTGGAGATGCTGCCAGCCTCAGGCCCCTGCGCGACGCCTCACCCTTCCCTCCTCACCTTCCATCTTCCATCTGTGGCCCCCACTTTGTTTTTTTCTGAGACGGAGTCTTGCTCTGTCGACCAGGCTTGAATGCAGCGGCGCGATCTCTGCTCACTGCAAGCTCTGCCTCCCGGGTTCACGCCATTCTCTTGCCTCAGCCTCCCGAGTAGCTGGGACTACAGGCGCCCGCCACCACGCCCGGCTAGTTTTTTGTATTTTTAGTAGAGATAGGGTTTCACTGTGTTAGCCAGAATGGTCTTGATCTCTTGACCTTGTGATCCGCCTGCCTCGGCCTCCCAAAGTGCTGGGATTACAGGCGTGCGCCACTGCGCCTGGTCAATCTGTGGCCCATTTTTAACCCTGGTTGGTGGCAGTGGGGGTAGGGTGAGTACATTAGAAAGGCAGCTGCCCTCTTTCTTCTTCCTCAGCCTGCATGTCGCCCCTTTTCCTCTTAAGCCTTTTCATTCTGGCCTTAACAACTATCATGTCGTCGTACTGACCAAACTGTTGCGAGGCGCCACTTTTAGATCAAGGCACTGCTTCTTCCTTCCCCATCCACAAGTTGGATCCAGTTTTGGTTTTGTTTTCATTTTTGATTTTACTTTTATATACTTTTTTAGAGCAGTTTTTAAGTTCATAGCAGAGTTGAGTGGAAAGCACCGAGTTCCTCCACACCCTCTGTGCGTGCACACACATGCATCCCCGGCCCGCACCAGTGCGATACACTGGTTCCATTTCATGAACAAGGTTGGCTCCAGTGCTTCGGGCATGAAACTGCACCCTCCAGGGAGTCCCCGTCAGTACCAGGGCGGTTGGGAGGGAAGGGCTGCTGAGGACAAGCTCCACTTGTCTGGTGAGGCTACAGCGGGCACCCCAGATTCCCTCCCATGAGGGCAGGACTCTGACAGACACAGGGGCACTTTTTCCTGCTTGTACCTTAACAGCTGTCACACCGCCAAGGCCCAGAGATGGGCGGCTGGTTTTCCTCCGGTCTCTTAGGGTGCTGGGGGGCAGGGGGCAGCCATCATGTTCGTTTGAAGTCAGGAGCTTGTGGAATATCTGACATCATTTACTCACTGCAGACACATTTATCAAGGGCTGTCTTTGTTGAGTGAGTTGAAGTTTCCTGGGGAAGGCGTTGGATTTCCTACCTTCTCGGAGATGATGGTGGCAAATCCAGCTCTCAACGGTACAGAGTCCGTTCCTGTTTTCCTTGGCGCCACAGCTGCAGAAATAACCACCAGCCAAGCCTCACACTTTCCAAGGCACTGTGAGGCCCAAGCCCTCCCTGGGGCTCCACATACCCCAACTCCACGGGGCAGGCAGGGTATCTTTCCTTCCTGCTCCAGATGGGGAAACTGAGGCCAAGCAAGACAAGTAAGCTAGCGGTCAGAGGTCCCTGATCTAGTGATTCTTTTTTTTCTTGCTCAAGGCTTGACTCCACAAAGCCTTCCTTGTTTTCATGGGGTCAGAGCTGCCTGCGGTCCCTGGGAGTTTCAGTGGAGCCCACAGGGAATGTCATACAATTCCCCTGCCCATGTGAGAGGCCCCTGCCCACTAGACAAATGGAAAGGCAGCTATTATTATATTATTCATCCTCCTTCCCAAGATTCAGGGTCTTTCATCTCTGAAATGTACAACATTTTTTAAAGTGGCAAATTCTCTTTTTAAAAAATTGCCATCATGTATCGTATCTCTAAGTGTGTGGGGGACACCGTGATAGGTACTTTATGTGTGCAGAGGCTGATCCTGCAGAGCACAGGCAGCTGTCACGATCCCTTTTCAGGGTGGGGTGGGGGTCGGGCCTGCACCTGGAGGAAAGCCAGACACCTGCCCAGATCAAATGGCACATAGTGGGAAAATTACTTTATTGCTTTTCGAAAGAGAGACAAGGTCTCGCTCCGTCACCCAGGCTGGAGAGCAGTGGAGTGATACTAGTTCACTGCAGCCTCCCAGGCTCAAGTGATCCTCTCACCTCAGCCTCCTAAGTAGCTAGGACTACAGGTGCACACCACTGCACCTGATTTTAAAAATTTTTGTAAAGATGGGGTCTCACTATGTTGCTCAAGCTGGTCTTGAACTCCCAGGCTCAAGTGATCCTCCAGCCTCAGCTTCCCAAAGTGCTGGGATTACAGGCAGGTGCTCTGTGCCTGGCCTCTTTTGCCTTTTTTTTTTTCCTTTGTAAGGGAATTTGCTGCGAGTCAGGAAGAATAATTTCTAGTTCTGGAGAATTCTTGTTCTTCCATTCTGGCTTCCATATGAAGTATCTCCCTCCTATTTTCCTAGTTTTTCTTTCCTGGGTGCATCATCACAACCCATCCGCTTCAGGGCTCTTCCAGAGCAGCCTCAGCGGATTCATGTTCCCACGTTGCTGAGACTGCTTCCCTGTGGATCCCACTCCTTACATGCTAACTTAACCTCGGAAGGCGCAGGGAGCTTCACTATGGCTCTGCACGCTCAGTAGGATGTGCTTCTCGTGAACAGAATAAACCAAAGGACACGTTCTCCTCCTGTCACTGGAGAAGGGCCTTCGGCTCCTGTTTGGGATGTGACTACAAATTGATTTTTAATTAATTTGTATCCATTCATCCACGCCATTCACATTTATTGAGCATCTACTAAGTGCCGGATACTGTTCAATCTATTCAGGTATGATGTATTTGTGAGTTGTAGGTAGTTTTCCTTTGTTGAGGTTTTTAAAGATTTTTCATCCCCAAAGAGACCCTACTGTTTTCCCCCAATGCATTTTAAAACCCTTTAACACAATAAAGTACTAGCTTTTTTTTTTTTTTTAATAAAATCAAACAAACTATAAAGTAATTTATTTCAGAGGCTGAGGCAGCACCCTGGGAGCAGCCGAGTCCTGGGACATGAGCTCCCACTCTCTTCCTTCTCACAAGGTTATTACCACTGGGGACCAACTTGGAGCTTTACTCAAGGAAAGCGATGCAGCAATGGGCAGATAGTCCCCAATCACCAAAGGCCACTGAGCACCCTCGGAGGGTCCTGCACCTCCCTCCTCCCCAGCTCAGGCTGCCATGGCTGCTCCTTGAAGGATCCCAGGTTGTGTCCGGCCCAGGTGGGATTTCAGGCAGAGCTACAGCATCCTGCCAGCTGCCCTCCCAGACAGGGAGGCCCATTACGCTCCTTAGTGGCCTTAGGTCCAGGACACCCCTGATCAGTGCATCCTCATGGGGGATGTTCAGTGACTCTGTCACTTGCTTTGACCTGCACAGCTGAAGCAACAGTTCTGTTTTTGTCTGTTTAAAATACGAACGTGGCAAATGACACTTGGAATTTACCTTAAATGCATTTTAGAAGTGGCTCTGAATTTCCGTCTGAACTGAATCCAAATCTAAGCCATCCTCACATTGGGCATTCGCTCTTCACCCATGCATGATGCTCTGTTGCAAAAAGAAGAGGAACAGGCTAGCTTCACCCCGTCTCTCTCCAGCCACGTCAGTCCTTCGGGAAATCTTCACAGGGCAGCCAGGATTCAAACCATGTCCTTCACGCCCGGCTGCTACCCTGGCCTTAGCTTCCCTCCCCTTCCTCTTGTTTGGGCACTTCATGGTCAAACCGCAGCAGGTGCTGGGAGTCAGGCTGCTTCGTGCCTGGGCTCAAACCTCCAGTGGCCCGATCTCACACAGAGAACAAGTTGCATGGCCTTTCTGTTTTCTTTCCAATGCCCCGTGTAACTCTGAGCCGTCTTGTTCCTGTTGCCTGACTCATGTCTAACTACTTTCCACCTCGTCCACTCTACTCCAGCCCTGTTGGCTCCTTGACATTCCTCAGACCTGCCAGGCACACCCCACCTCAGGATGTTTGACCAGCTGTCGTCCCTCCACCCTCCCCAGACATCTGCCTGGCTGTGCCTTCACCTTCAACTCGTTCTGGTGAAGCCTGCCCTGACCACTGTATTGAAAATGATGTCCTGTCTCTGGCATCTCCAACACCATCCCCTGCTTTCATTTTCTACATGGCCCCACGCTCCGCCATTGCGTATTATCTCCCCTGCTAGAAGGTGGGCTTCCTGAGGGTTGGGTTTTGTCTATTTTGTTCACGGATATAGCCCAAGTGCCTACTATAGTGCCTGGCATATAGTAAAGATGCAATAAATAAGGCTCCATTCATTCATTTGTTCAAGAATGACTTATTGAGCATTCACTATGTGCCAGGCAATGGGCTGGTGCTGGGCATACACAGGAACATAGGCCAGATGCATTCTGATGGAGAGGACTGACAACACATCTAGAAAGAAATAAGTCAATAAGAAAATGTGGATGGTTACAAATACCGAGAAGAGAGCAGAGTGAGCGCCTGGGGAAGAGTGTCTGGGGAGGTCTGGGTTAGGCACGGTGGCCAGGGAACACGCGGGGAGGTGGTGGCATATGAGTGGAGACCTGGAGAGTGAGAAGGAGCCAGTTGTGGAAGCTCTGAGGAAAGAACATTCCAGGCAGAGAGAAGAGCAAAATCCCAGGCCTGGAGCTGGGGCTGAGCCCGGCCTGTTCAGGAGACCTAAAGAAACCCAGTGGGCTTGGAGCTCCAGAAAATCAGAGTGAGTAGGTGGCAGTGATGAGGCGGATCCTTGCAGGGCGGGCTTCCCATGCTTCCAGGCCTTGCACACAGCACTTAGTGTCTCTGAGCCCCAGTCTCGTCACCTTTTGCTAAGCAGCCATCGTACCACCCATCCCCAAGAGAGCTTTGAGGACTTGATGAGATGCAGCATGCAGAATGACCAGCACAGTGCACAGCCTGCAGCAGGCCTGCAACAGAGGGCACTTCAAGATGGGAAGTCCTGTAACTCAGTAATGTCTAAGGGCTGTGGTCCAGAACGAAGGGCGCGTAATCCTTCCATCTCTCCTTACAGTTTCCTGCCCGGCTCTGAACGCCCCCGCAGATGGCAGAAAGTTTGGAAGCAAGTACTTAGTGGATCATGAAGTCCATTTTGCCTGCAACCCTGGGTTCCGGCTGGTCGGGCCCAGCAGCGTGGTGTGTCTTCCCAATGGCACCTGGACAGGGGAGCAGCCCCGCTGTAGAGGTACCATCTCTCCTTCCCATCCCATCACAGCATAGCAAGGGTTTGCTTCATAGAAAGGGCCATTGCTGGGAATATTTTCTGCTTGGTTCTTTAATCATTCCTCAACCACAGAACAGCAGCCAAAGTGCCCGATCACTCACCTCCATGCCGGGTTGGCGCTGGTATCTATCTGTAGGAGCTCACTGTATCTTCATAATAATTTAGTCTTGTTTGGCATATGGCGAAACTGAGGCACACAGAGGTTAAAGAACTTGCCCAAGGTTACACAGCTGGGGGTGGGGGGCACTATTAAGATGCTTCACACTTGGACACTCTGACCCCAGAGTCTGCGCTCCTTCACACCACTCTGCTTTGGACACCAGTGACTGGTTCTTATCAATGTGAGGGCAAGTAGCTGCCCATGGGTTGGGGAAGGGACCAGAGGAAGACACTGCAGGACGATGCTCCTGTGGCTGCTCCGTTCTGGGCCTGCAGTCTGTCTGTGAGGCTGCTGGTATCCTCTGGAGCTGAGGACACTCCTCAGGTGTCCTTTCTGTCTGCACCGGGACTTGGTATCAACAGGCTCCAGGGGAGTTCACTGTGAGGGGGAGGCATGAAAAGCTTCTCTCTGTGCTAGGTTTAAAAACAGCACTTTTTTGATATAGAGGAAAATCAGCCTTGGCACAAAAAATCTGTTGGCTTTTCAAAAACCCATGGTCAAAAAAATCTTGGCCACCAGTCACCAGTCATTTTCAGAGCAAGGTTCGTGGGACATCTGCTGAGGCAGAATGTCCGTGGTTCTAGCCAAAGAGTTGAAGGAGCAACACGGACATTATATAAACAAGAGGATTGCGAAGAGCAGAGTAGAGAGAGGACTTTTTTGTTTTTGTTTTTGTTTGCTCTGTTGCTCAGGGTGGAGTACACTGGCGTAACCTCAGCTCACTGCAACCTCCTCCTTCCAGATTCCAGCGATTCTCCTGCCTCAGCCTTCTGAGTAGCTGGGACTACAGGTGCCCACCACCACGTTCATCTAACTTTTGTATTTTTAGTAGAAAAGGGATTTCACCATGTTGGCCAGACTGGTCTCGAACTCTTGGCCTCAAGTGATCCGCCTGCCTCGGCCTCCCAAAGTGCTGGGATTACAGGTGTGATCCACCGCACTTGGCCAAGAGAGGACTTTGGATGCTTAAATTACTTGAAAATATAGAAGGACTCCAGAAAGCATGCCATCCCTAAAGATGAGGATGGATTGCCATGAGAAGCTCAGGGCAACCAGAACCACATTTACAATTTAGGCTTCTCTTTCCTGACCTCTGGAAAGAGTGATGATGGTTCAAAGGTTGATGACCAGCTCTCAGACCCACCTAGGAACCAGCCAGGAAATACAAGTCATGTAACATGCAAACAAAACAGCGGAAATGCCAATATCTGGTATTTACTTACTTGACTCTGAAAGATCTCAAGCCAGGTTAAGCACCTCCTGGGTGATAAGCCATGGAAGGGGAGGTGGGTGCACACAGATATTTCATTTTTATTGCTTTGGGTGTCAGTATTTTTAACTTACAGATGGAGTTACACATCCCGGTTGGTTTCCTTTTCGGTCTCCTCAGCACTTTCAGGACCCATCTGCATTGCCACGTGCAGTCTGCTCCAGTGCCTCTGATAGCTGCCTCGTCCTCTCTGGGGTGCACCCCCACATCTGATCTGTCCACCCCCTGCCATGGACACCTTATTGCAGTCAACTCCTGGCCACCACAAACAATGCCGACAAGGCTTTCTTATCCCCCGATACTGTCTCTGGGTTGTGTATCTGTGGCTGGAGGGGCCTACTGGCTTCAGGCTCGCTTTGGACTGAGCACTGCCTGCCCCCGGCAGAAGGGCTGCACCTGCCCACGTGCCCCCAAGCGGTGTTGCAAGTGAAAGCACATCTTACTTATGTGTGTGCTGTTTTTTCTTGCTTGCTCAGGTATTATCCAAATATTCTGTCCTCATTGGCGACATACCACAATGCACATCATGTGATTAAAACCAAAAGATGAGTTCGTCAGAGAAGATAGCAGAAAGGCCTTTTTAGGCAGATACATACAAAACACTGGAGGCCCAGGAACATAGTCTTAAGAAGTGACTCAAGCAAAGGAACACGTAGTTACTTGACAAAGGTGGAGACCCAGAACCCTCCCCACAGTCCATCTCCATCCTAGCGACTGGCCAAGAATACCTTCCTAGAGGCTCCTGGGGGTGTCCGCCAGCTTCCTTCTTGACCTTGGGTGTTTAGTTATGCCTCTGCACCTCCATCGCTGCAGCAGGACCCCCTCAATGGAAAAGAGGGTTCTGCCGCGTCATGACTTGTGCCGCGATCTCAAACATTCAAGTGCTCCTGAGTCACCCAGGAAGCTCATAAAAGACAGATTCTGAGGTCTCAACAGACCTACCAAGTCAGGACCTTTATAGATGAGACCCAAGACATCTGCATTTTTCATATGTTCCCTAAGTAATACTGCTGTTAACAGTACCACTTGATGTGTTCTTGCAAATGCCAGAAGCACAAAATATATTGAAAATGTTGAAGTGCTGATGCGTTTTGGGCCCAAATCAGTCAGGATGACTGCCAGCCACAGGCAGAACAGTAGACTGTGCGTGTGTCATCTCTGTCCGGGGAAGACACCTGTTATGCTCACTGCTACTTGCCGTGATGTTTTGGGAAGGCCAACCCAACTCTTACAAAGATCAGAGCCCCCAGCCCTGCTGGGCAGATTTCCCTTTCTTGAGATGTAGAGGGCAGACTTTGCCGGGAGGACCACGGCGCAGGGCAGACGGTCCCACTTGCCAGGCGGCCAGCAAGCCTACTGACCTTTCCCATGGTCCTGAGTCTTGCCCTTGGATATACCAGCTCATTCCAGATGCACCTTGTGCTTGTCTCTTATCTCCCCATAGCCTCCTGCATAGCCGTTTTTCCTTCTTCCCTGACCTCCACACCAAAGAGCTGCATGGTGCAGCCCAGCTTGGGGATGTCTACTCGGGCGGCATGTGCTATCGAAAACTTGGGAAGGACTGACCCAGGGAACAAGGTGGTGGCCTGTCTAGGATGAGATCTTAGATGGAGATTTTTCTTCTCCTGAAGCATAGATGGGGCCTGGGCATTGACCCTATGGTGGTGATCGGACAAAAATACTCATGTGTTGCAATCAAGCTGCTCCAGCAGCTACTGGCCACGGCCCCTCCTAAGTGAGTAGACGGTGCCTGCGCCTACACTTCTGTTCTCAGTAGGAATTGATGTGATTCATGGATGTTGTCTCCAGCAAGAGCCTCAAAGCGGTGCCAGCCAAACCTGCCAGGAGGGAGAAATAGTGCTCCTGACTGCTGTTTGATGACCAATTGTGACAGTATTAAGGGTGTGGACGGGACACAGGCTGGAACTCAACAGTCTAGTGACCAAACCTAGGAACTTACCAGCAACCACTGAACACACCCACTGCATGTTCCAAACCACCGGTCGTGTGGTCGCCATGTGTTATGACCACAGTGGGGGCATCATCTTCTTAATTACAGAGAATTCGTTTCAAGGCCCAAAATATTGGTGCCAGTGACAAATTTGGCAGTGCTGTCATAATTGTCCCTCTCTCCAACCCTCGTCAGCTGCTTGGAAAGATAATGATGAACCCAACTTGGCAGAGAAGGAAATTACACACAATCACGCCATTAAAAAACAGCAGGCAGGCCAGGAGCGGTGGCTCACACCTATAATCCCAGCACTCTGTGAGGCCGAGGCGGCAGATCACCTGAGGTCAGGAGTTCAAGACCAGCCTGGCCAACATGGCAAAACTCCATCTCTGCTAAAAAATACAAAAATTAGCTAGGCATGGTGGTGGGCACCTGTAATCCCAGCTACTCGGGAGGCTGAGGCAGGAGAATTGCTTGAACCCGGGAGGCAGAAGTTGCAGTGAGCCGAAATCACACCCTGCACTCCAGCTTGGGCGACACAGCAAGACTCCGTCTCGGAAGGAAAAAAAAACAGCAGGCAGAGGTGGACTCCAGAACTCCAAAGTGGAAAACAGCCACTTGGCTTTCTCCATTTCTCCATTATTTTCATTGTTTCCTCCTTCTTTCTCTGAACATTTCTCTAAATGTTTTTAAGATGTAAAGCTTTCTGAATTGGGAACCATAGCTGAAGATCTTGTGCCTTTGACAATGTGGGTAACCAAAGAAACAAACTTAAGAGATATAAATACCGTTGTCACTTATCATCATGCTGGTGAAAAGGAATCTTTGTCAGTCATCCCCATCCTTTATTTTTAACCTTCATTATTTTATTCAGCCAATTTTTACTGAGAACCAGCCATGCACAAAGCACTGTGCCAGATGCCAGGGACCCAATGCCGAATCCCACAGACACCACCCCGGCCTCTGGGGTGCACAGGCGAAGAGAAGGCAAAGCAAAGCAGGTAGCCACACACCAAGGGAAGCCAGCTGACGTTTGTGGTGAGGGCCACATATGACCTAACAAGGGACAGAGTCAACAGCATGGGGCAAGGAGCAGTTGAGGGCCTCTGAGCAGGGGACAATGACACTGAGATGAAAGGAGGAACGGGATCTAGCCAGGCAAAGAGCAGGTAGTTGGGCAGCACAAGGCAGACACTGTTTTAAGAAAAGGAAGGAGGGGCCAGGCACGGTGGCTCACACCTGTAATCCCAGCACTTTGGGAGGCTGAGGAGGGTGGATCACGTGAGGTCAGGGGTTTGAGACCAGCCTGGCCAACATGGTGAAACCCCATCTCTACTAAAAATACAAAAAGTTATCTGGGCGTGGTGGCGGGCGCCTGTAATCTCAGCTACTCAGGAGGCTGAAGCAGGAGAATCGCTTGAACCTGGGAGGCGGAGATTGCGGTGAGCTGAGATTGCGCCATTGCACTCCAGCCTGGGTGACAAGAGCAAAACTCCATCTCAAAAAAACAAAAAACAAAAAACAAATAAAAAAAACAGTAAAGAAAAGAAAAGGTGACTGGATCAGCTGAGGTCAGGAGT